GAAAATAGATTTATTCAGTCACAGATCACAGTATGTCATTCTTAGGTCATCCAACAGTTCTGGTTTCCTCTAGGTAAGTCTCAGTTTTGGGTCTGAGTATTGTATTAGAAAAAACAAGAAGAGAAATCCCAGATTCTTCAGCCTCTTTCCAACCCCCATAAAAGAAACGGCAAAGCTATTATTGGAAACCTGAACAAACTTGAATGGGTACAGTGTGGGCTGTGACTCCCTGTACTTGTTTTACCTAATTCTAGTGTCCCCTAGGATTTGTCATATTCTGTGGGTTGTATTATAAGGGGTACAAAATATCCCATTTTCCTTACAGGTCATTCTGTCCTAAGGCAGGAACTGTAGTGGGTAGAGATTTTTTCCCCCCATCTAAAGGACCTCACCTTTGCCTCTCTGACTGTTGTCCAATACTAGCTCTGATGTCGTGAGTTAGAATGAGATAGTTCTCGCTGTAACCGATAAGCTGTGTATCATGTGTGTGCCTTGACTCCAAGCATTTCATAAGTCTTATGGAACATTCACATAAAAAGTATAAGAAAATTCATGCCCACGGACTTTGGAAAATCTCGTTGGCACCATCAGCTAGTATATGAATTACTTAATCATGGATTTGTGGAAATGTAAGTTCATGGAGTCTGATCTTGCAGGCGTTACTGAGTCCTTGTCTTGTGCTAGACATGATACTGCCGATCACTTTCCCTGGAAACAGCCTCTGCCTGTTTCTCCTCTGTTCCAGGGCTTTAGCTTTGGCCAAATACTTTTAAAAATGTTCTTCTAACCCTGCTAGAGCAGTGAAGAAGTCCAGTTGAGTATTTTTCTGAACGAAAAACAAAACAAAATAAAAAACCTGAAACAAAGTGAGGAATATTTTCTTGATGTTCTGAAGATCTCTTGCTTTTTGTGCTAGGTCTTTTGCATGCTGACCATTGCATCATCTTCTGGCCCATTCTTACTGCATTTTGCAGCAAATCTTCGGTTGAAGATAAATTGGGAATAGGTATTGCTTTTATTTTTCTTTTAGAGACACTCGGATTTGAACTCATTTTAATTTGTTGCTATTCCTTTGGCGATACTGCTCATCTCATTCGGGTGTGTAATGGCAGCCGTTTCCCTGGGGGAGCTGAGATAGTGGCATCTTTGTTATTAAGCTCAGAGTCCAGAAAGCAAGTCAAAATTGAGGCATTCTTGTTGTATGCAGGCATCCTCAGTTCTTCAAGAGGAAATGAGAAACTTCTCCTTCAAGGGACACATTGAGAACAGGAAAAAACATTCTCAGCCTTGTTAGTAGAGTAGAATTCTGATCATAAAAGGAATGGGAGACCTTTCTGCTAACAGACATGAGGCTATAAAGTGTCATATCATGTGGCTGGTTTTTCACTGAGTCTCTGATAATATGCCACTTTGCTTCCCTTCCTTACCCCCTCCACCTCAATTCCAAAATAGAACTGTGTTTCTCAAAGTGTGGTTTAAAAGTCACCTGCATCAGAATTAATTGGAATTGCTTGTTAAATTCAGATTTCTGGGCCCATTTCCCTGATTTAATTAGACTATCTGGTGGTAGCACCTGAAGGAAAAAATACACACATATATATATATATATATAAAATCCCTAATGATTTCTCATGTGCACTACAGTTAGAAGCATGAACTGCAGAATCTTTGACATCATCTTTATATCTTGACTGTAAGGGCAAACTGCATCTTAGCTCTCTTTCCCTTGAGAACTAGATCGTCTTTACCATTCTCAACAGGAGTTGCCAGCTGCAGAACCTCTGCGGAGAAATTATAGTTGACATGGCTCACTTTCTAGATTTTAGGTTTCATTCCTTTCCCCTGGAAGGAATTGAACTTTGAACCCCAACATGCAGTATTCAGTTTGGGTAGCTGCTACTCTTTAGATTAAAAAAAAAAAAAAATTGCCCTCGAATTGATTCTGACTCATAGAGACCCGACAGGACAGAGTAGAACTGCCCCATAGAGTTCCCAAGGCTGTAAAGCTTTTACAGAAGCCACATCTTTCTCCTGCGGAGCCACTGGTGGGTTCGAACCACCGACCTTTTGGTTAGCAGCCAAGCGTTAAACCACTGTACCACCAGGGCTGCTTTAGATAGCACCTCTAGACATTCTAGGAGCAAGATTCCTATACACCTGTCTGTGTGAGAGGTAGGAGTTCCCTGCCCAGAAGCATAATCAATGCAGGAGCCCAGAGACAGACTCCTGGAGAGGGCCAGATTGCAAACAGTGAATCAAGGAGCTTGGGTGAGGATAGGGTAGGGACGGGATGGGCCCAGGTGCCTTTCCTGGGCAGATTCCTCTACAGACTTGACCAGAATTGGGAAAGGAAGTTCCTGTTAACAGATGGAAAGTGCCTTTGCCAGAGGCCCAGGTTTCCTGTAAGGGATACCCAAGCTGTTGCAAACCCCTGTTGCTATGCTTGGTGGGGCTGGCCAAGTTTCTTTTTGTTGAGTCTTATTTCCACCCTCCACTCCTCTTCAGTTCTACAGATGCTGGTTTATTTGCACACTCCTTGCTGATCATGGATTGAAAGCCTCTCATTGTTTTTCAGCTCAGTGTTTAGATAACACAACATGCCTGTGGCAGCTAGAGCACCCTGTAAAGGAAATGCCTGGGCTCTAACAGCCCCGCCATTCATCTCTCTATGTGAGTGAATGAGGGAGGGAGGGAGGCCTGTGTTTAGGACCATTATGAGAACATTGCTCTGCAGGGATTATTACTTGAGGCCTGTAGGGGCACCAGGCTTCTCCTTGATGTCTGGAGTTGTAGGGACAGTGTTTCTAAGTCTCTTCTCTTTTTCCTTTCATTTCAGTCATAAGAGGATTAAAGGCTATTTTGCCCAGGCCTTGTTTCCATGCGTAGCTGCGGTACCAGAGCATTCTTCCCTCTGGCGAGATTGCTTTGGAAGACCTAGGACTGACAGTGGCTGGTGTTGGCAGAGGCTGTTCTTATGACCAGGACAGGTTGGCAGCTGCCTCTGCACTGTGGTTTCAGGAGCCCTTCTTCCCACGTTGTCCTTGTTAGTTGCTGTCGAGTTAATTCCGACTCATGGCAACCCCATGTGTGCTGAATAGAACTGCTCCATAGAGTTTTCAAGGCTGTGACCTTTCAGAAGCAGATTGCCAGGCCTTACTTCCAAGGCTCCTCTGGGTAGGTTTGAACCGCCAACCTTTCAGTTAGTAGTAGTCCATCGCTTAACCATTCGCGCCACCCAGAGACTCTCCTCTTCCCATAGGATATCTTTTTCCTGTTCCTTTAATCTTCCCCATCACCTTCTTGCCCACTCCCGCAAAAGGAAAATGTATTATCTTCATTCAGTATTAAATGTTTTCTGGTAGCATATAGTTTTCACTTGGTAAAATGCTATTAAAATGTCTTTCTTAGAAATGTTTCAGATAAGCCTGCTAGGCTCTAACTTAGGTATCTTAAGAATCTTCCCAGCTCTGATTCCTTAGAATTTATAAACTTCTTTTTCTAAAACTCCTAACTTCTAGGGCCACTTCCTTTCCATGACAACAGTGTCCCTGTGAGGCAGAGTGAGTTAGTAGTTCTGACTTGGCACTCATTTTTGTAGCATCCGTGACACATACGCTTAAGCTCCCTTTCTTACCAGTAAATCAGTGCTCCAGAAATTCAACCTCAAGTACAAAAGAGAAGTTGGCTGTGACATGGAGAGTGAGAAGTCATCCCTCCATAATAACATAGTATTCAGGTAGTCAAGGATACCTACCAGAAAGGTCACACACACATGCACACCAACTTTTTTAAAGTTAGTACTGTGTGATTGTTAATGTTCATGGCCATCCTGGTTCACTGTAAAATTGCAAATATCTTCTGAGTCACCAAAAGAAATTATTTAGAACCATACTGTGTGGTTTTGTTTTTGTTTTATTATTAATATTATGAAACTACAGAATATTAAGTGAACCAGAATATACCACTCCTTAGTGAAGCTAGATTAATGGAATTATATGTATTAACTGAAGTATAGTTCAAAGCTAAATATAAACTTGTTGGGAATTATAAAGGGAAACAAGTCATTGTGCTTTTTCAATTGTTACACTGTTTGCTCCACATTTAAATTTTAAACTTTCTCCGGGAGTCAGAATTGACTCGGTGGCACCTGGTGTCTTTTTTTTTTTTTTTTAAGTATTTAATCTCTAGCTATGCCATATGGAAAGGAGCCCTGGTGGTGCAGTGGTTAAAGTGCTCGGCTGCTGACCCAAAGGTCGGGGGATGTGGCAGTCTGCTTCCATAAAGATTTACAGCATTGGAAATCCTACGGGGGCAGTTCTGCTGTGTCCTATAGGGTTGTTATGAGTCAGAATCCACTCGACAGCAATGGGTTGTTTTTTTTTCTTTTTAATGCCATATGGAATATAAAAATTCTCTTTGAACAGATTAAAAATTCAGAGATAATTACTTGTTTTGCTTAAGTAATAAAGTTATTATTATTAGAAAAAAATCCAGAATAAAGTATCTGTTGGCTTTGCTAATGGTTCTTGTATCTTTAATATAAAGGTTAATCTCTAATTCAAAGGATAAATATATCCCTTAAATAGCAGTCATGATTAGCCAGTTAGATTGAACACACCTCACTTCCCAGAGCCTTGGAAAGTATCTCTTTGTTATGCATTTAGCTTGGGTAAATAACTAATCAATAGAATACATCTCTTCTTTTAAGATGCTTTTGTTACCCCTTTCCCATAAGTTTATTGCTAATTCACTTTTTGGAGATTGCAGAGGGAAACTGTGACAGGTTAAGTAATGTGCTTTAATATAATCAAGAAGCCATTCGTATTCCCGTTAGTACCTTTTAGCCCACTGCCTAGAAATACCATCTTGCTGAAATTCAGGTGTACACACTTGGGCAGAAGGTCCTGGACACAAGTTGTGTAGAAATGAATGCAGCGTGTCCTGCAGACTTTTGTTCAGCCTGCCTCATCCCTCTGATCCCTGCGCATTCTGCCTTCCAGTTCTCTACTGCGCTACGGTGGCAACCTCTCCCTCCAGAGCGCCATGAGTGTGCGATTCAACAGCAACGGGACCCAGCTCTTGGCCCTGAGGCGCCGCTTGCCTCCTGTGCTCTATGACATCCACTCCCGCCTGCCCGTGTTCCAGTTTGACAATCAGGGCTACTTCAATTCTTGCACCATGAAAAGCTGCTGTTTTGCAGGAGATCGTGACCAGGTAAGTGCTGCCTACTGCATCCTCACACTGATGCTTTCCTCTCTCTTTTTTTCTGTACTGATCTTTAGCATCATGTCAGGTAGAAACAATTGAGGGGGAAAGGTGAGTGTCTAGGGGTGTTCTGGCTTGATAAATGTGTTTCCTCACCAGAACTGTTGTTGGGTACAAAGGAGGCACACACCAAAAATAAGGCTGGCTGCGATATAGTTTGAGCAACCTAGCTCTGCCAAGTTTGTGGACAAATTTTAAGATTCTAAGAATGTACCATTTCAAAAGAAAGAAGCGAGTCCATGGAAAATTAACCTGCCAGTGAGAGAGACATCTTTTTGTATAAATAAAGCACAATGATGAATGAAACACCGTAAGTACCATCCAAGAGACATATGTCCTGAATGGCCTCATGGGATGGCATCTTTTTGTTGGATGAAATGGGCTGAGCAGCTTTGTTTGAGAGGAAGCCAGATGCTGACTCTTTCTTTTTACTGCTAGCGTCTCAGCCAGGAATGGAGATCCCACCAAGCTATAAGTTTCCAGTCTTTCACGGTCTCACTGGGAATCCAAATACTGATGTTGACTTAAAGCTGGCAGTTTAAGAACATACTTGGCATTCTTGCGTCTGTCTGTCTTGACCATAAAAGTTCTGAATTGGGCATCTGTGAGTGGACCAGTTGGACTGATCTGAATAATCAAGCTGAATAAAGACAAATATAAAGAAAGATTGATCAAATAAACAAATACAATTTTTTCTTCTCAAGCATAACAAATCTTATTGCTACTTCACATCTAGATTGCTAATGGTTCATTAGTGCTCTCCTCTTTGGTCCCCTCAACTATGTTGTGCTTTCAAATTTTGACAAAGGTTTCTCACATGCTGTTCCCCACCTCCTTAGAGTTATCTGTGGGTGAGGGGCATAAAAGAAACACTTCTTTGAGAACCTATCAAGATTCTACTCTTTGAAGGCAGAAGCTAGGATTTTTCTCCCTAGACTGGTCACTAGAAACCCAAACCCACTGCCATTATCGATTTGGACTCATAGAGACCCTATAGGACAGAGTAGAACTGCCCCATAGGGTTAGCAAGGCTGTGATCTTTATGGAAGCAGACTGCCACATCTTCCTCCCATGGAGTGGCTGGTAGGTTCACATGGCCAAAGACCTTTTGGTTAGTAGCTAAGAGCTTTAACCACCTCAAGACCGTAGCTTAAAGATTAGTATATATAACAGGAGCACAATAAATGCCTGTTGATTTGAGTTGAATGTTAAATAAACTGAGGCTATATTTTAAGTTTTCCAGGCTAGGGATTTCCCTTTTTGTAAATAAACCAAAAAACCAAACCCATTGCTGTTGAGTCGATTCCAACTCATAGCAACTCTGTAGGACAGAGTAGAACTGCCCGCATAGGGTTTCCAAGGAGCAGCTGGTAGATTCGAACTGCTGACTTTCTGGTTAGCAGCTGACCTCTTAACCACTATACACCAGGTCTCCTTTTTATAAATAGAGAATATATATCCAAATTCAGAATTTGTACTCAAGTGGGAGTCCTAGGGCCTGCTTAGCTGAGATCCACACTGGAGACCACTAGGTGGCCTCAGTTATATTAGTGATGTCTCCTTGAGGAGACCACAATACCTGAATGCCTTAGTTTTTCCAGCTTGTATGGTGCTGTAGGCAATTTATTTCTTGGGTGGGAAGAAGCAATTTCTAGAGATGCTGAAATCCATGATAGAACAGATAATAGTCTGCTATGCAGAATGGTTGGTTTAGTTTCATTTAGCTGCAGAAATGACAACCAAGCCCCTCCCTCCCTCTTTCCTTCCATTTGTTGATTTTCCATCTTCTATCAACCTCTTATGCATATCATCCTTATTTCATTGAACAGTAAAGAACATGTCCTGAAAGTAATGGTTTAATAGGCTTTTTTTTGCCAGGGAAAAAAAAAAAAGTAAAAGGTGAAGGAGGTAGGAAAGGGGGAAACACAAAAGAGATAAAGGAAAATGGATATTGTGTTTTCTTCAGGCAGAGCCTGTCTGCACAGAATCCTTAAAAGTCCCAGAGGGAACAAAAGCCTCTAGCCAAAAAGTAGAGCACCTAGACCATGATTTCTCAACATTGGCATTACTGACATTTTGAGTAGACAATTCTCTGTTGTAGGGGCTTTCCTATGCATTGTAGAATGTTTAGCAGCATCCCGGGCCTCTACCTACTAGATGCCAGTAGCCAAATATCTCCTTGGTGGCAAAATCAATCTGGTTGAGAACCACTGACCTAGACTATAATTATTTAGTTTAGTAAGATACATTGGGAAAGGTATTGCCACAGGCAGAGTCACAAAGTATTTTGTGATGGTTCTGGGTATGTAAACCGACAAGATGTAATTGCTTTTGTCTTCTTGTTATATAATGATAAAAAACACTGAATGGCTTTTGATTTTCTCTATTCAGATTTGACTAATATATTATTTGTGGCTTTTGATTCAAGCTGCCAACCTTTCAGTTAGTAGTCGCCAACTGTTTGTGCCACCCAGCAGCTCCTGGGAAGAGCTTATTGGGTACTATATCCTCCCTGACTAACCGAATTCTTTTCAGTTTGAGTAAGTGGTTTTCCTTGAATAAAGGAGGATGCTGGGTAATTGAATCTAACTTTGGATCAGTAGCAGAACTAAAGCCTTTAAAAATCTGCTCATATTCCCTATATAGATTATCAGAGGTGTCTAACATAGGGAATAGGAAGTACAGAGATTTATGTTTGGCTTTTGTGTTCACTCCTTGGGGACTAAGAAGTTTAGCTAATTCATCATTGTCTTGTCTCCAATGGCTGGCACACAGTGAGAGCACAGTAAATATTTGTTGAAGTGAATCTTAGTACTTTGGTCAGTGTGTGATATTTAGTTTTCTGGGCCTAAGCCTTCTCTAACTATAAATCAGGATTGATAAGTACCATTTTCCCTCTCAACTTTCAGGGGCCTTTAGGAGGATGAGATGACTCAAATAATGGATTTACAGTGAAACTAATCTACTGAGATCATAGCTTTTTAAGTGTTAAACAGGGGCTAAACTTACTGAGAAAGTCTCAGTCCTGGAACAAGTCTCTCAGCGGTGATTTATACACTCTGACTTCCCACACTCATGGCTAAAGCAGCATCTGCCACGATTACGCTATGATCTGTAGGACTTACTTGTATATTCTTTGACTAGCGCGGACAGGATTGCTTTTGCTCCTTTCAAATTCCAAAGCCCACCCTTCCTTATGTTGGTCTTTATATTCCACAATGTTCCTGTATACTCTGAGAACGCCCAGAGCCTGAGGCTCTGTGCTCTGGAACTCTTCATTTAGTCATAGGTTGGGTAACCATCCCACAGAGGAATCTGAGAAATTTCCATAATAGGAAGGAACACGGTTGAGGAAGGCAGTAAGTGATTGTATCTATCTGAGACAGTCTTCTAGCTTTTAATTACGATGAGATCAGTCAGTCCACATAAATGAACCCAGATATTGTGCCAGAGAGCCTGTACTTCTCTTTAGACTATCCTAGGTTTACTAGGTAATTCATTAGCCTCAAAGTGAAATTAACATTTCAAGAGCCTGGACCCAGGGAATAAAGGGTGAAATAGCCTACTTTGTGTCTCCCCCATGCTCATGGCCACCATTGTAGATAAATTCTAATTATAGAGTTATTAGAAGTAATTTTATACAAGCCCCTCCTTTTATAAATAAGAAAACTGAGGCTCAGAGAGGTTAAGTATACATGTCAAGACATATACAAGTTAGTAGCTGAGCCAGGACTAGAGTGTGAATTTTTTGGCTCTCTGTAGTGATCTCTTTTTATTATACAGATGGTTACAGCTAGATGCCAACAGGGGAAAGGCAGGCAGCAAAAATGAGTTAAGTGGGCTGGGAGTAACCGTAGGGAGGTGGTGGACTATGACTAACTGGAGAACCCCCATCCCACCTAAATGGGACAGCTTCTATTTGACTTCAGCCCATTGTTGTCATGTGGGCTGTGTTGCCGAGGCTTCTGATTTTTTTTCAAGGGAAGCCAGATTTTTATGTAAACTATCCTAGTTTTTAAATATTGATAAATTCACTGTATCATATGGATCAAACAAGACTCTACACCCTTCCTATTCTGCCCCAGGCCACCAGTTTGAAACCTCTGTGCTTCAGTGTGGTGTTTCCTCTCAAGTTTAGTTCGTGTTCTGTCACTAATTCATGGGGGAGTGGAGACAATTTCCTTCTTCTTGCCTTCTACTGAGCCCTTCCTAACTTCATGCCTTTCCCCCCCTCTATCTTTTAAAATAAGAAAGTGGATATTTACTGAGCATCTACTGTGTGCCAGAGGCTGTGCTAGACACATCCACATGACATTGACAGATGGTACCCTTTCTGAGGTGTTCATTCAAAGCCCTTATATACAATCTGTCTTTCCTGCTTTTGGCTGCAAATATACGGTTTGTTTTTATTTCTAGGCAATATTGTAATTACTCAAGTTTGATAACTTCTACCATGAGATCAGGTAACGTCAGATTGGCTGGATATCAACAGAAACAATTAGCCCCGACTAAAGCCTTGAACCTTTTTTTTTTTAAACCTGCCCACCTTCTTGTCTTGCAATACAGTGAGGAATCTTGCAGTAAAACATTATTCCTTCCTCTGGAGGCTGCTAGAACCCAAGGATTCTTGTCTTTACTTTTGTATCACACTTGGATTGTTTTTTTGGTTTTTGTTTTCTCCCTGATGCCTGACTGGGTACATTCTGTCTCCCTCAGCTTAGCACTCTGCTCTGCATTCTCAGTGAGACAGTCTCTTAACAGGGTTAAAGAAGAATGCCAGTTTTCCACCTGCTGGTTTTTCTGGTACACACTGATAAGACAGCACTCAGCTTTTGTTCCCGTTCTTTCACAATTCCTTAAATGGATCTTGCCCTGGATTGTAGAGTCTAGCAGAGCTGCTCAGTTTCTGGGAAATAAGTCCTTCAGGATTGCAGGTATATGTGGCCTAG